AGGCCCCAGCCCCGACGATGTTGTCATCAACGCACAAAGCTCTGCTAAAGGTTTGGCTATTCGGCGCAAGATATAGGATCTCCCCCTAATGGACGTGCAGGCTTCAAATCGAAACAGCCTGCTTCCAAATCGGCAGGTAACAAGAAAGCGCAGGCTGACCTGACGGGTGGGATGAATGACCTCAGCGTTGAGGAGAAGGTGAATATCAAGAGCAAGAACTTAGATGTTTTGTCAGAGTATAGCAAAGCGGAACGGAAGAGAGCGATGAATTTCGCGGTTATTGGTGAGTAAACTCAGCCCCCAGCGGTTTCGATGGTATCGCCTGCTAATAGCAGGATAGGCCATGTTGATGCGGGAAAGAGTACGTTGATGGGCCGCTTGCTTGCTGATCTGAAGGCGATCGACCAGCGCACGCTCGATAAATACAAGCGAGAGGCAGAGAAGATTGGGAAAGGATCGTTTGCTCTCGCCTGGGTCCTGGACCAAGGTGCGGAAGAGAGAGCGAGAGGGGTGACTATTGACATCGCCACCAACAAGTTCGAGACGGAGAAGACGGTGTTTACGATTGTCGATGCTCCCGGCCATCGTGATTTTGTGCCCAACATGATCGCCGGTGCCAGTCAGGCTGACTTTGCCGTCCTTGTGATCGACTCCAGTATCGGCAACTTCGAGTCCGGGTTGAAGGGACAGACCAAAGAGCATGCTTTGTTGGTGCGGAGTATGGGCGTGCAGAGGATCATTGTGGCTGTGAACAAGATGGACTCTGTACAGTGGGACAAAGAGCGTTTCGACGAGATTGAGCAGCAGGTCTCGTCTTTCCTGACGACTGCCGGCTTCCAGCCCAAGAACATCAACTTTGTGCCTTGCTCTGGTATCAGCGGCGATAATGTCACCCGACGCAGCGATGACCCGAACGTGTCGTGGTACCAAGGGCGCACCCTAGTTGACGAGCTTGAGGCCACGGAGCCTTATTCCCATGCGGTTGACAAACCCCTTCGAATGACGATTGGTGATGTGTTCCGTGGTAGCGTTCAGAACCCATTGTCGATATCTGGCCGCATAGATGCGGGTAGCTTACAAGTGGGGGATCAAATCTTGACCATGCCCAGCGGGGAGACTGCCACCATCCGGAGCTTGGAAGTAGACGGAGAACCCAGTGACTGGGCCGTGGCGGGTCAGAACGTCGTCCTGAACCTGGCCAACATTGATCCCATCCACCTTCGATCGGGTGATGTGGTCTGCCGGGCGTCCGCGCCGATTGCCAATGTCACTTCCTTTACGTGCAAAGTGTTGGCCTTCGACCACCTGCTGCCTAGCATGGTGGACATCCACCGGGGTCGTCTGCATGTGCCGGGACGGATCAGTCGGCTCGTGGCCACTCTGGATAAACAATCTGGCAACATTCTCAAGAAGAAGCCCAAGATTGTGGCGCCAGGTACAGTGGCGCGGATTGTCGTGGAAATGGACCAAGCGGTGCCTCTAGAAGCGCCTACGCGGATTGTTCTTCGAGCCGGAGGCGAGACCGTGGCCGCTGGCTTGTTGGAGTAGATAGAAGCAGACGGTTATAACGCATGTAGATGCAGCATTTACTACATAGACAGTTCTTTATTTCTTCTACTGTTTTCTGAAGTCTCAGGGGGTATACTGGACAATGACTCGCCCTGAGTATCCATGTGTGATGTCCATTTTGCCAGCCTGGCCTGAACTAGATAGAGGATCTCGGAGATGCCACGACTGCCGTGGCCGTCGTAGTCCCTTCTAGACTAGCCCTGTCAGACCCTGTGTCATCCTGACAAAACCAACTGAAACTGGCCTTAAGCGTCACGGACTCACGGGTCTTGGACAGAGTGGCCGCAACTGAAAGCAAGGGAAGCCGGGAAGCCTCCTGAGTGGAGAGGTATCCACTTTCCTCAAACTCGAGACCCTGGTGGCTTGTTTATGAGTCAAGGTGTTGATGATGAGGATGAAGAAAAGGCCGGAGTAGGGATAGTGGACAGCCACCCGACCCCGCGGACAGGAAAAAGGGACAGTTGTCTGATTCCTGTAGGTTGATAGCAATGGAACGGCGCAAGAATGAGCGGAATGAGCAGGATTGGGACCGGAGAATACGGTCTCTAGTACTACACCTAAATGACCAACTGGCCAGATCGGGACAAGTTCGAGTGTCTGGCTCCATGCAAGGACGAACCTCGGGAAGGCGGAGCAAGCGAACAAATCGGAATGCGATTCTAGCAAGTTCGACGAACCGCCTGGAAAATTGGGCTGGCAGAATCCCGGGCGGTGTTCCTGCATTGCTGAGTCAGCCAGTGCCCTGAACGCGCTCTCCACCAATCACAGCACGAGAAGTAACCTTAAATGCCATACCCGCGAAAAGGCCAGCATGGCCGCTGCGCTTTCTTTGCCGCCGCCATCCCATACAAGAAGGAACATACAAAGCTGGCTGAAGCTCCCTCCAGACATTCTTTCTTTCTTCTCTTCCCTTTCCTCGTCGCCTTTCTTTTCACCCAACCTCTCCTCCCCTCTCTCCCTTTCATCCTCTTTCTTTTCTTTCTCTTCGCGTGACAGGCACGCACTGTTGACGAGAGAAAAGGGAGTTTCACATTTTGTGATCTCGAAAAAACCATCGCTACGTGTCCTGTGGTGAGGACTGTAACTACACACATAGACACATACACAAACACACATACCTACCATGGCGCGCGTCTCCGCTCGCCAGGGTGCGGCCAAGCCCTTCACGGCTTGGACCACCGTTTTCTATCTGCTTCTTGTTTTCATTGCGCCTTTGGCTTTCCTCGGAACCGCACACGCTCAGGATGATTCGTCAGTACAAGACAACTACGGCACTGTCATTGGTATCGATTTGGGAACCACCTACTCGTGAGTTGATCCTACCGAAGGAGCATGTGCGGTGTTTGTGACGCGAACTGAGACTAACCGGATGACCTGCAGTTGTGTCGGTGTGATGCAGAACGGCAAGGTTGAAATTCTCGCCAACGACCAAGGAAACCGTATCACCCCCTCCTACGTTGCCTTCACCGATGAGGAACGTCTCGTCGGTGACGCCGCCAAGAACCAATACGCCGCCAACCCCCGCCGCACCATCTTCGACATCAAGTGAGTTTATTGTCTGGTTGATTGAGTGGAATCTATTGTGCTAATATGCTGTCTAGGCGTCTGATTGGTCGCAAGTTCGACGATACCGATGTTCAGAAGGACGCCAAGAACTTCCCCTACAAGGTCGTCAACAAGGATGGCAAGCCCGTTGTCAAGGTCGAGGTCAACCAGACCCCCAAGATCCTGACTCCCGAGGAGGTTTCCGCCATGGTTCTGGGCAAGATGAAGGAGATCGCTGAGGGCTACCTCGGCAAGAAGGTCACCCACGCCGTTGTCACCGTCCCCGCCTACTTCAACGACGCCCAGAGACAGGCCACCAAGGATGCCGGTGTCATTGCCGGTCTCAACGTCCTCCGTGTTGTCAACGAGCCCACCGCCGCCGCTATCGCCTACGGTCTGGACAAGACCGATGGTGAGCGCCAGGTCATCGTCTACGATCTTGGTGGTGGTACTTTCGATGTCTCCCTTCTGTCGATCGACGACGGTGTCTTCGAGGTCTTGGCTACCGCTGGTGACACCCACCTTGGTGGTGAGGATTTCGACCACCGTGTCATGGACTACTTTGTCAAGCAGTACAACAAGAAGAACGACGTCGACGTCCGCAAGGACCTCAAGGCCATGGGTAAGCTCAAGCGTGAGGTCGAGAAGGCCAAGCGTACTCTGTCTTCCCAGATGTCTACTCGCATTGAGATCGAGGCCTTCCACAACGGCGAGGACTTCTCCGAGACCCTGACCCGTGCCAAGTTCGAGGAGCTGAACATGGATCTGTTCAAGAAGACCCTGAAGCCTGTTGAGCAGGTTCTCAAGGACGCCAAGGTCAAGAAGTCCGAGGTTGACGACATTGTCCTTGTCGGTGGTTCCACCCGTATCCCCAAGGTCCAGGCTCTCCTGGAGGAGTTCTTCGGTGGCAAGAAGGCCAGCAAGGGTATCAACCCCGACGAGGCTGTCGCTTTCGGTGCCGCCGTCCAGGGTGGTGTTCTGTCTGGTGAGGAGGGTACCGGTGGTGTCGTTCTGATGGACGTCAACCCCTTGACCCTCGGTATCGAGACCACTGGTGGTGTCATGACCAAGTTGATCCCCAGAAACACCGTCATCCCCACCCGCAAGTCCCAGATCTTCTCCACCGCCGCCGATAACCAGCCCACCGTTCTCATCCAAGTTTGTAAGTTGAATCGTGTTGATGTTTTGGTCCGTCGGACACTAACCGGGTTCTAGACGAGGGTGAGCGTTCCCTGACCAAGGACAATAACCTGCTCGGCAAGTTCGAGCTTACCAGCATTCCCCCCGCTCCTCGTGGTGTTCCTCAGATTGAGGTCTCCTTCGACCTCGATGCCAACGGAATCCTGAAGGTCAGCGCCAGCGACAAGGGCACCGGCAAGGCCGAGTCCATCACCATCACCAACGACAAGGGCCGTCTGTCCCAGGAGGAGATCGAGCGCATGGTGGCCGAGGCGGAGCAGTTCGCGGATGAGGACAAGGCCATCAAGGCTAAGATCGAGGCCCGCAACGGACTGGAGAACTATGCCTTCAGCCTGAAGAACCAGGTCAATGACGAGAACGGGCTGGGTGGCCAGATCGACGAGGACGACAAGCAGACCATTCTGGATGCTGTCAAGGAGGTGACTGACTGGCTGGAGGACAACGCTGCCACTGCCACCACGGAGGACTTCGAGGAGCAGAAGGAGCAGCTGTCCAACGTGGCGTACCCCATCACTAGCAAGCTGTATGGCTCTGCCCCGGCGGATGAGGATGACGAGGCGTATGGCCATGACGAATTGTAAAATAAGTTATTCTTAGAGGGATTGTTTAAGGAGTTTGCATTGCTTGATTGTTCAAGACCAACCAACCTTTTGGTTTGATAGTTTAAATATGATACCTATCCTAGATGCTCTCATCGATGCTCTCTACTTGATCCGTTACTTGAATGAATAGAGTTAGACTCCCAGACTAAAAGTCCGACTGTATTTGAGATTGATAGTCCATTCATACAACCTTTTAAGCCGAAGGCACCTCTCCCCCACCACCCTGCGAGATAAACTCCCGCACCACATCGACAATCACCTGATGATCATCCTCCTGCTTCAACCCACTGACCACAATGACGCCCACCACCCCATCCACCCCGCGCACCCGCACCGGGAACCCCCCACCATGAATGGCATAATCATCCGCCACGGCCCCGCCATTACTGGACCGCAGCGCATACTTCCTGACGAACGCCGCCTCCACGCCTCCCTTCTCGGCGTCCGCCAGCGTGGACAGGAGCTTGTTGCGCATCAACCAACTGCTCACCCCCCAGCGCAGCACGGTGTTCCGCTTCCGGCGCACCCACACCTCGTTGTCCGGGATCGTGCCGGGCTCCGTGGCGCACTGGAAGACGACGTGCGGCGGGACCGGTTGGTTGTCGGTGAAGGCGGAGGGTAGCGGCGCCGTGGTCAGCGTGATGCTGATGAGGGCCGGCTTGCGCGAGCTGGCCGGGAGGCTGAGGATCCGGTCCCGGAGGGCCAGGCCCAGGTTGAAGGCCGTCGTGGCGGTGAAGGTGCTGAAGATTAAGGCCGGAGAGGTTTCGTGGGCGGTTAGGGTTATTGGCTTTTTTGGTTAGTGTTAGTATTTTTTTTTTTGGAGGGATGGAAAGGGGGGATTGAGGGTGGGGGATTGGGATTGGGATTGGGGGCTTGAGGGGAGGTGGTTGAGGGCTGGTTACGTACGTCGGTGCTGACTTGGGTGAGGGGTCGGTCTTCCATTTTGGTGGTTGTGGTGGTTGTGGTGGTTGTGGTGGTTGTGGTGGTTTGGGTCTGGGTATAGGTTCAAGGTAGATTGGTGGGGAGGGTTTTTTTGTTTGGGGGGTAAGAGGTGAAGTCAACAGTGACAAGCTGGGATGAGGGGTTTTATACCTATTGTACGGAGGACCGGTGTCCTGTCTCCACGTCCCAGGCCTGCATCGGGGTTCGCCCGCGGGGAATTGCTAAGAAAAGGGAGTAGGCAGTAGGAGTACCGGAGGAGGGAAGGTCCAACACGAAGAAAAGTGGATCAGGGCCGATGACGTCGGAGTTGCGGTTCCGCGGTTCGGGATTGGAAGGTGGACTTTGTTTGTTCTGGTCTTCGGTGAGATTAGAGAATTGTGTGTGTATGTGTCTATGAATAGTGCATCTAGTAGTGTAGTATGTAGTAGTTGAAGTTGATGTGTAGTAACGTTACTAGGGAACGAAAGGAAAGAAAAGGTTGCATAGTATCATCTGCATTGCTCCGCTTCTTCCCCTCTTTCCTCTCCTCTCCTCTCCTCTCCTCTCCTCTCCTCTCCTCTCCTCCCCTCCTCACAACGCTTCGCTCAATCATCTCCGGTAGCAATGCGCCACCTCGTCAAAAAAGCCTGTGATAAATGCATTGCCCGCAAAATCAAATGCAGCGGCGCTCGTCCCTGCGACGCTTGTCGCCAGAACCCCAAGCAGGTCATTTGCACCTACCTCAAGCCCGTCCGGCGCAGAGGTCCCAAGGTGCGACGATTGTCGAGTCCCAAAACACATGCAGTCCCCCAGTCCCCAAGTCCCGACGATGCTCCCCCAAAGCACCACACTACAGTCCCTCTGGTAGCGTTGGCGTATGTTATTCAGCTATACCGGCAATCCTCCTACGGCGTCTGGCCGGTCATCGATGCCCCCGCTCTCCTCGAGAAGCTCAAATCAGCACCGCCAGTCGACACTCTCTGTCTAGCTCTGGCCCTCTCTGCCGCCACCATGGCTCAGTTGCAACTGTCACCACTGCACACTTCAAACGCCACCGTCGACTGCACGACCCTGGCAGCCGAGTGCATGAGGCTGCGGGACGCGAGCTCCTATCGAGAGCGCCCCGACGTGCGAAGTGTCCTCGCTTCGTTCTTCCTGCATGTGTACCACGCCAAGATCAACCGACGCCACACGGCGATGACCTTCATACAGGAGGCCATCCGGGGGGCTAGGCTTTTGGGTTTGGATGCCGGGGGCATGGCCTGCGATGTTGATGTGGTTGCCAACAAGGAGGTGGTGTTTCTCCTGCTCTGGATCTCGGAGAGGTAATGGTGCTGTCTGCCGAAGGGTTGCTGTTATTGACCGCTCGCAGGGGCTATGCTATGCATCTAGGGCTACAACCGTCCAATACGCTTCCCGTCGTGATCCCTGATCTCGGTTCCGAGGGTAGTGCAGAGGTGAAGGGCTTACTGCAGCTGGGCCGGCTGTTTGCAACCTTCGATGTGACCTGCAGCGGGCGTGGGAGTGCAAGCACTCCGGAGTGTCTGGCAGAGGCCGAGGCAACATTGGCAGTACTATCTCGAGGGCAAGAGGGTGGCCCGTCAACGCGTCTGGCGGACTACTGCATCACTAAAGAATGGATGCGCACGATGATCTGGCAGAAAGCACTGTCGCAGCGGCTGCTCTCGTCGACTTCTGGCACGGAGCTCATGACCTTCCGCTTTCCTGCAGTCGTCGGCCGTTCTCTCCTCTGCTCTCTGCAGGGGTTTACCGAGTCGGACCTGCTCCCATTGGGTCGGGATCAGGTAAGCTTTGACCGTGTCAGAGACCGAGAATCACGCTGAAAGCGGGCAGTTGTTGAAGTGCTTCGAGGTGACGAACTCACTAGCAGATATCATCCTGCTGGCTGGGTCGAGCGCAGTGCACTCGACCTTGCAGTGGAGGCCGCAGGACTTTCTGCATGCTTTGTACCAGAGATTACTGCCCTTCCTGGAGCAAGACCCCATGCTGAAGGCGTTGCTCCGGGCTAAGACTGCTGAAGCTTTGGTCAAAGCTCCTGCGCGTTTGTTGGGCCTCGGGCATGATGATAACAGGCTTGAGGAGCAGATCTTGAGCTGTCAGACGGAAGAGTCTGAGGAAGCTAATGTGGAAGATTTCTTCACCACTCCATGTCGGATTGAATCGGTCATCTGATCTGAAGTGGCTGTCTACCTATGCTGCACAGAATATTCACACCTTCAGCAAGATGCTGGCTCACTCTGATATCTGGAGCACAATTCTCCCCGCAATATCGCCCTTCTCCATCTCCTCATAAACTTGAGGCAAATCCTTGAACGGTCTGACCTTGATCTCAGGCTTCACCACCCCGCGACGGACTAGATCCACTGCCTCCATACATTCTTTCAGTGATCCGACCAGGTTGCCGGTGATCCGAAGCCCTTTGATCACGATGGTGGCGATCGGCGTTTGCAAGGTTGGCCGTCCTGGCGGGATTCCCACACAGCTCAAAGCCCCTCCGACTCGTAGCATCTCGCACGCATGAGCGAAAGCTTTGGCGCTGCCTGCTGTTACTACTGCGGCATGTGCACCAAGTCCAGTGATCTCATGGACGCGCTGAACCGGGTCCGTCATGGTAAAGTCAATGAATTCGACAGCGCCCAGCTTGAGGACAAAGTCCCGCTTGTCACCGGCATCTACGCCAATGACAAGTGCTCCTTGTGCTTTCGCATATTGCACTAACCAGTCAGCATTCTATGAGGATGCTCTGCTCCGATACAACTCACCTGCCAAGTGCCCGAGGCCTCCCCCTGCGCCGACCGCCACTAACCAATTGCCCGCCCGGATGTTTGCATTGAGAACAGCCTATACAGTCAGCGATATACTTGTGGCGAGTGAGGTGAAGTACCTTGTAAGCCGTCACACCAGCGCACAGAACGGGGCCAATGACTTTAGGATCGATATCATCCGGCAGGATCGTCAAGTAGTCAGCATCCAACGCGATGTACTCCTGGAAGCTTCCATCCTCATGATGGAGGTGGTTGGTGCTTTTGAGGCAGTACTGCTCGGTTCCGGCTAGACAAAACTCGCATCGTCTGCAGATCCGACTTGAGAATCGTATTCCGACAAGCCCTCCGACCTCTAGGTCTGTTCCACACCCTGGGCCGAGCGCCACAATCCGTCCCACGCCTTCATGGCCGCCCACATGGGGGATCTTGATGTTTGTGATGGGTGTGCCCTCGGACGAAGCAGCCGTGCCGTTCTTCGTGTGCAAGTCTGCATTTCATGGATTTTAGTATGGGTTCATCATCGAAACAGTGTACTCACCACTCTGGCAAACCCCTGTGTATAGCACTTTGGCTAGAACCTCATTGTGGCCCGGTGTAGGGACGGGGTAGTCCTCGCGGAACTCGACACTGCCCCCGAGTTCGTTGACCAGAGCTACGGTCTGGATTTGAGGGATGGATTCCACGGTCATTGCTGTTTCAACAAGAAGATTGTTTAGTATGAGCTGACGGTGAGAATGTGTCCTGGTGGGAGGTTTAAGTAGACCTGGCGGTCGTCCAATTTGAGCTTCAATCTGGTTCGACTTTGGGGCCTATGATGCTATTTCTCCGATTGGCTTTTATTTGCATTGATTGAGCTCTGCAGACTGTGTAATTCTCCGAGGGGCCCAAGCATTGCATGCGGAGAAGAGGTCAAGTCACGGGGTGGTTGATGGTTGCTTGCTTTGTCTGTTCGTGTTCTTCCCCGCCTTTTGCTCTTCTCCTCACTCCATGCACATCATACTCCTTTCCCATCTACCAATCTATCTGTGAACTACCCCTCACGGTGGCTAGATGCATGCATCATGCAGCAATTCTCCGAGGGTTTTCTCCGGTTGCCTTACCAAGCAATGACAGGCTTTGTGCATGCTGTTCAGGACTACTTTTGGAGTCTTGTCTGGCTCTTCACCCCACACCCTACGCAATGGTTCGAGATTCCAAACTTGGATGCTGCGATAGCCACTTGAATTGATGGCTCTCTTTTGACCTGAGCGGTTTCTCCATCGCCTTCAACGCTCATTGTCATAGGACACAATGATTGTCTCTACAGCTACGATTGTCTCTAACACAAGCCATCAAGATGCCAGGCTTGCCTTGCGACTATGGGTCATACATCTCAGCTCGATCTACTCAAACTTCGACAATCTATGTCTGTGTCCAACTTTGTTTTCTTCAGCTCTATCATTCGACAAGGCAGATGGCTGAGACGAACGTCAGCCCCTCTAGACACAATGAATATAGTGGGCTTTTTCAGAGCTGTACAAAGCATAAGGTCTACTTCGAAGGGATCCGATCCGGGACAGCAACTTGACAAAGGTCGGCTCTTTGTCAAATCATACAATCTTATTGTCCTCCTTCGGTTGATCGGTGTTTATCAAGAACTAACGACAGTATAGACATCAATCCCAGTTTGCAGGCAATCATGGAGAGTATAAATGCTACGCTACCGAAGCACTCTGCTTCGCCGGCCCATACTTCCATCGCCATCTCCCTCACACCTCTGTTATTGACACCTCTGCCGACACCCTTCTGGCGCCTTTACGCATACGTGTTGTAGAAATCCCAAAATGGAGTCTAGTAGACCTGCAAGCCCCCCCAATCCGCAGCCGGGCGAGTCAGCCCCTCCCCCCGATCTGGAGAATATGCCCGTAGAGCTGTTCTGGCAGATGGCGCAGCACCTCCCGGTTGAAACCCTGACCAGCCTCCGCACAGTATCCCGGAAGGTAAGCGCCAAGGCACGGCAGCCCTTCGCGCAGTGCGGCTTGCGCACTCTGTCGATGACCCTCGATGTGCGGGGCTACGACAAGGTGGACGAGATCGCCAACCACGAGTTCTACCACAGATTTCCTCAGCGGCTGGCTGTGTATCCGCCGGAAGCCCCGTGCGACAGCTTCTGGACGGATGCGGCGCTGCGCAAGCTGGGCCAGACCCTGGAGCACCAGCTGGCGCGGTGCCGGGAGATGGTGCTCTACTACGGCGCGCCGGACCAGGTGGACCGGATGGACGACATGCTGAGCCTGCACGCGCTGTGCCGCATGCTGGCTGTCAGCCAGATCCCGCTCCGCTACCTGGTGCTGTTCCGGCGACAGGCGCCCGAGCGCCGCGCGATCCAGCTCCTCGACTGGCCCCAACCGTACCTGCCGCCAAACATCTCGGGCATCTGGACCGAGCTGCGCCAGCTGCACGTCTACGAGCCCGAGGACAACGGCGCCATCGAGTACCTGCGGGTGTTGCTGCCGGCGATCCTGCAGAACGCGTCGCAGCTCGAGGAGTTCAAGCACGTCGTCTCGCCGCGGGTGTTCTTCCGCTCCTACGTGATTCCCCTGCGCTGCGCGATCTGGGCCGATGAGGATCCGTCGCTGCGTGCGCCCGCGCCGCTCAGGCGGGTCGAGGTCGCGGGCTCGTACATCAACCTCGAGGACCTGATGGGGTGGCTGGGAAGGTACGGCCCGACGCTGGAGCGCGTGCAGATCTGCGTGACGTACGCCCACGGCAGTGCTACGCTGTGGTCGGAGGTGCTGAAGCATATGAAGGAGGTCTGTCCCGTGCTGCGGTATGTGTCGGTCGTGACGTGCCGGCGGTCGCTGGGCTGCGTGGAGTCGGAGGACCGGGGCCAGATATTGGAGGCATTGGACCGGATGATTGAGACGGCGGAGCATGCGGGCATTTAGGTTGTAGCCGTAGTAGCCAGCTTTCGTAGCCAGCTTTGAAGCGACGTTACGGAGGTAGATCGTCCTTTGCCGTATTTCATACATCAACATCTTGCTTACTGTAATGTCGCCCAACAGCTCAATATCAAAACCAGACTGAACCACAATCCATTCCTACAACCAAAGACTATAGTACTTATCAATCTCCCTCTCCAACCTCCCAACCATCAACAAACAAAGAATCCAAATCCAAACCCCAATAACCCAAGTCCAAATAAACAACCCAGCCCCCTCCCCCACTCCCCAAGACCATCCCCAAAGACCATCCCCCCCCAAACCCCCGCTAGGCTAGATATTATAAAAAGAGAGAATCAAACACAAACCCCCAACCCCACCCCGACCTCCCCGCCCACAACCCTCACCTGACTACCCCGGGGCGGCACCCCATCCTCCCAAACAATCATCTCCGACGCATTCCCACTCCCCGGCCCCACCGGCCCCATCGGCCCCATCGGCCCCAACCTAACTCTATAACCCCTAAACGGATCCCCAAACACATCCGACAGATCGAACCACACCTGGCCCGGCCGCTCGAGGTAGTTGTACGCGAAGATGGTCTGCGGCGCGCCCGTGTACAGCCCGTTCGCGACGGTGGTGAGCTTCAGGCTGATCCTGCCGGTCTGCGCGTCGTGGCGGTACGGTTCCGTCCAGGTGGTGTTTTGGGGCAGACAGGTTTCCGGGGGCGTCGTCGAGGAGACCGGCGTTAGGTAGATGGGGAAGAGGCATGCGTTGTGGATTGTGGCGTTGGCGGGTTTGATTGGGGGGTTTGGGAGGGGGGTTGCGGTTGTTGTTGTGGTTGTTGTGAGGGGGAGGAGGAGGGGGAGGAGGGTTAGAGGGTGCATTTTTGGGGTTGGGGTTGGGTTCGGTTTGGGTTTATAACGAGGAGGTGAGGGGGGTGGTTCAGTTGTGTGCTTGTTGTGTTGAAGGTTGGTTGGTTAGGGCTTGGTGGTGGAATGAGGTGTATTGTGTATTGTGTAGGAGCTGGAGGCGAAGGTGTTTATATAGCTTCACTGTACCGTACGTCTAGCTCATTCTTTCCAGTGAATAGTGTATGCGTATGCTATACAGCTGGACACGTCGGACGGCTCGGATCACTGTGCGATCTACTCATGTGCGGTTACGACATGGCCGACGTCAGTTGTAACTGTCGGTTCGACTGTGCTCCTTCATCGGTTGTACAGAAGCTATACTGGAGTACAAGCATAGGAGTGTGGGCAGAGTATAACAGAAAAGGTAAGCAATATCTAATGTGTCTTTCCAATAAAAAGGTACAGTCTAATGTACACTGTGCGGCAGCGAGTCTAGCTCTAGCTATGCATCTATACACCCTACACATCTATCACCGCCGACATGCCCAACGGGATATTCCCCTCGCGCGCGACCACCTGCATCGACCGACTCGTCAGCCCGCTCAAATGCACCGTCGTCTCGAACCCCGCCCGCGGCACGCTCTTCACGAAACTCGCCTCCCCGTCCGTCGCCACCTCGTAGATCGCCCAGTTGTCATACTCTGTGGCCCCGTTCCAGCTCATCGACACCGTCGCCTGATCGTCCGACGTGCGGATCGCCACCACCGCCGGCGGCCAGAACGGCGTCGCCTTCCACGGGCACTTGAACCCGCGGTACGAGGCCACCGCGTTGTCCTCGCCAAACTGCGCCGTCAGCACCGCCCGGCCCTGCGCGTCGTACTCCTTGACCCGCGCGATCGACCCGTACCCCAGCACCACATGCCCGGACTCCGGGCTGAGCAGCTGGAAGCTGCCCTGGCTGACGCTGTGGATCACGTCACCGGCGTCCGACAGCGCGCGCAGCGTCGACACCTTGTGGGCGACCAGGTCGACGTAGAAGCTCAGCCCCGTCGTCGCCGCCACCGTCTCCGTCGGCGTGTTGGCGTTGTTGAACAGGCTCAGCACCATGCCCTCGGCCGTCTGGTTGTAGACGCGGATGTCATGCTGCCACGAGAAGACCGCCTTGTCGTCGATCTCGAAGTCGCCCGTGTTCTTCTCCCCCTGGACGAGGTTAGACCTCACACATCGAAGGAACTCAACTCAAGCACGAAGATCAGGATGCACTTACACTAAGCCGCCACATCACCGTGCCATTATTATGAATATAAAACCCGGACCAGTAATGCCGCAACGAGATGATATACCCCTCGTCCATCAACTCCACCGAGTTGATATGATACGCATCCCACGGCTTCTCCTTGGTGCCGTACTCGGCGCCGAGCCCCTGCTTCGAGATCTCCAACGGAATCTCCGCGAGATGCTCCAGCGCGCTCCACGCATACACGATCTCATTCGTGGCGATGTCGATCTCAAAGAACATGCCGTCCAGCATGTAGTCGTCCGGCGCGCCGCCGATGGCCGTCAGGTCGTGCTGCGTGACGTTGTACGCGGTCACCAGCAGCGTATTGCGGTCCGTGATGTGGCTCTCGTGGAGGTCGATGTACGAGTCGCGGGGCTCCGCGAACGGCGACACGAAGTTGCCCCCCAGCGTCACCGTGTAGATCTCCCGGTACGTGTTGTCGAGGATGTGCACCGTCCCGTACCCGAACCCCAGGTCCGTCATGTCCCCCGCCCAGAAGGTGAGCACGTCCTCGTTGTACAGCCGCTGCGTCCGGAAGTTGGCCGTCACCTCCGGCGGGCCCTCGTACACCAGCTGCCCGTCTTCGTCGTAGATCAGCGCCGCCGTCCCCAGCCCTTGGTTGCCCCGCGGCCCGACGAAGATGTACCCCGGGTCCGTGGCGCCGGTCTTGGTGACTTTGAGTTGGGGGGGCAGGAACGCCGCGGTTCGGTATCCGACATACGGGAAATTGTCGGCCGCGGTGGGGGGTGCAAGGAAGAGGAGAAGGTGTAGCGCCGCGCTGCTGGCGAGGGCGAGTGTGCGGATCATGCTGGTCGATTATCGATCATCGGCGATTTGTGGGTATGGTGTATATACAGATGGTTATATACGGGGGAGGGGGGTAAAAGAGCGTATCCCCAGAGGGCGGAGGGAAGGACTGGTCGAAAGAATGACAGAAGTCAACTGTAGAGAAGACAGCGACGGTTAAGAAGAATATAAAACATCGCAGAAAGCGGGGGGGGCAAAGAGATATTAAGACAGGGACGGCACAGAGAAGGGAAGAAGAGGAGGGACTGGCCTCAAGGCAGTATAGTTGAGTGGACTCGATTTGTCGGATCATCCCCCGGGCGGTGATGGTTCTTGCCTGTTCCGGTAGGCGGAGAGCGGGCTAGACCCCTTGATTGGTGGTCGATGGCCACCGGACGCGCAATGGATTGTCCTCTTAATCTCCTGTCTTCCATTTCGGTTAATTGAGGCTGATCACCATGCAGAACAATCGTTTATTGATGGCTTTGGACCCTTGACGTATGTTGCAGGAAGGCAGGCACTCGATATTTCTGCATGATGTTGGATTACATTGACTAGTGGCTTACAATTCAGCAGTGGAATTGACAGCTCATGTCCGGCATGCTTTCCCTAGCCGCCCATGATATCATTAATCACCACTTCAGCAGCAGCAGCAGCAGCAGCAGCAACAGCACAAGACTTACGTATCCCATGTATTCTGGCATATTCTCGCTATCTTTGGATGATTGCAGAGTACGTTCAAGCTCAAAACCATGGCATTGAACAGTACGTCTTCACGTGGAAGAGTAGATCGACGGTATAGATTACCAGCATGCCCTACGCATATTGAAAATTCAAGCGACTGAATCCCTCTGATGACAAAAATGTCTCGACAAATGCAATCCGAGTCTATAACTAATTAATCTATAGTTCACGTCGATCATTATATACATCCCAGAAAACAAGGCAATCCTTAAAGACACATGTACAGGCATTTAAGCCTTGCACATACGGCCCGACTCCGACACGGTCCAGTACTCACTGCCCACACCCTTGAGAACATAGAACACGTGGTCAGGATCCCACTTGTTCTTGATCTGGGTCAGGTTGTCGTAGTTGGAGCCGAAGAAGGTCTCCTGCCAGTTCAGCTGGTTGAAATCCGCCTCGTTCTGGTAAGCACCAGCGCCGGGAGTGGCGGCCTCGAGCTGCGGCACAGCCTGGTGGGTCATCTGGTACTGCTCCTCGACCATCTGAGACCAAGGGGCAGTCTCGTTCCACGCAGCACCAATCTGCATGGTCACGGCCGCCTTGCGCCACTCGGGGAAGATAGCGTTGGCGACGTCGTTGGAGCTGGTCACGTTGAGACCAACTCCGACAGCGATGATACCCTCGCTGGTGATGTTGCGGAGAGCAGAGACCAAGGGAGTCACGTTGGAGTCCAGAACGGAACGGGGGATCAGGCGACCACCATAGTTGTAGGTACCAACATCCAGGTTGCCGTAGGGAAGAGGACCCATGTACTTCTCGTAGTGCTCATAGTACGAATCGTACTCGGTGTAGGAGACAGCATAAGTGATGCCCAGGTCGGTCAGGGCGGAGAGGAAAGGTGCAAGGATGGTCTTCACCTCGTCGCTGGTCTTGTTGAAACCGGTCAAAGGGTTGATCAGGAAGATGCTGTTGGTCATCTCGTAGATGACGGTGGTACCGGCATCGATCATAGCGGGCAGCAGCTCGTGGAAGCGAGCGACGGCCTCGAAGAAGACGTCCGTAGTGACGTTGGCCGCGGTGAACTGAACGCCAGCACCGGAAACGGTGGCATCGGGGTAGGCCTTGACGGTAACAGACAGAACAACGCCATAGTTACCGGCACCACCACCGCTGAGGGCCCAGTAGAGGTCGGTGTTGTTGGTGCGAGACGCTGTGACAACATCGCCAGCAGCGGTGACGACCTCGAAGGACAAAGACTGATCGGCTCCCAGACCGAACGAGGTACTCAGAGCAGAGTGACCACCACCCTGGAGATAACCTCCGGCAAGACCGACGGTGGGACACTCACCACCGACCACAACGTGGCCGTTGGCGTGGACAGCATCAAGAACCTGGAATCCCATGACACCGCCACCGAGCTTGTAGGCAGGGCCAGTGTAGGTGGAATCGGACCAGTCAACATACTCAATGTTGTTCAGGTGGTGGGTCCAGATGGCCAGAGCACCAGCACCGGTGGAACGACCAAGATAGCTAATGCTGCTGTTAGCCGTGGATCGTCATATGTCAACGTGCAGAGAAACTCACTCATGGCCAGTGTTCCGGATGACGATACGGATGTTGTTGGACTTGGCAAAGTTGATAGCCGCAACAACCTCATCGCTAGACGAGACGTTGACGGCATAATCCACATAGTTGCCAAGCAGGCAAGGTCTATCCACGGAGGTGAAAGGATCGCAACTCTGGTTGGCGAAGTAGGTTTGCATCACAGACGAGGAAGTGTCCATACTTTAAAGCGGCGTGGAATTAGCTTGGTTGATGCGGCAAGACGTGTGCATGTCCTTTAGGAGGGGTGTGAACTTACTGGGTCTGCGGGTAGTACCAGTTGCTTTGCAACTCCTTGCACGCGGCAGCATCGTAGTTGGGAGCATGGCAAGGAGTACCAATGGGAACAGTCGCAATCAAGCGACCGTTCACCGTGCTGTTCAGAGTATCCCAGCTGGACGTGGAGGGCCAGCAGTCATCACCAGGCAGACAGTGGCAATCGCCGGCGTCGGTGGCGGAGACCGTGGAAGTGAGAGCAGCAGTGGCTGCTGCCAAAGCCCAGGAAGCCTTCATTGTGAGGACGAAAAGTAGAAGGACTGCTAGAAGATTGACTGGGATGTGAAGTTGAAGATGATTAAGGGAGTAGAGGTACTTTATACTTCTAGTTGGCGAG